TCTTCCACTCTCTCTACAAATCAATGGAAAAATTCCTGGTGAGCATTAAAAAAATAAAATCAATAAAAATATTAAAAAATTCTTGCGGCACTTCAGTTGAAAATTGTTGGCTAGAATAAAGACTCTCAAATAGTATTTTAAGTTTGGAAACTTAGGTTTTATTTTCTGTAACCCAAAGTGATTCCTTAAAGCCCTCTGAGAAAGGTTAGAAAAGAAGCTAAAGGTAAGGTTATATGCCATCAAAAGTGTTCTGTTCTAATTATGTCCCGAGAGAGCTTACCACCCTGTTCAGAGAATCCATAAAGCGGACAGACGGAAGCAGGATAGAGCCATCTCCGGGTCCTGCTTTCTGTTTGAGACTGTTTTAAAGAACTTATTCAGATTTGAATGAAAGAACATCTAAAATTTTAATTTTAGCCCTGACCAGTTTGGCTCAGTGGATAGAGCGTCAGCCTGCGGACTGAAGGGTCCCGGGTTTGATTCCAGTCAAGGGCATGTATCTTGGTTGCGGGCACATCCCCAGTAGGGGGTGTGCCGGAGGCAGCTGATGGATGTTTCTCTCTCATCGATGTTTCTAACTCTCTATCCCTCTCCCTTCCTCTTTGTAAAAAATCAATAAAATATATTTAAAAAAAATGTTTTTTAAATTTTGTTTATACTTGATTACATATAGTCAAACAGCCATTCCTTGCACTTTTTCACCCTTTCTGGGGGTGAAAAACAGTTTTAAAATAAAAATAATCTCCCCATACCAAAAAAAATTTTTTTTTCTAATACAGTTTCTCATTAAAATAGGAAAGAATACAGGTGGTACAGTTTCTGTGAACTGATCACAGAAAGAACTTTGGCTTTATCTTTTTCAAACATTGGAAGGAGAGATTGTAAAGGTAGTTAGTGTATAATACCTTTGACAATGTGGGTAGTGCTATCTTACTCAGTTTTATATTATGTGGTCCCAGGAAGAGTTTCATACAGATCAGTCAAGAACTTCAGTGAAAGTGTTCATTTAGGATCTGGTCTTTGACTTTTTGGTGTGAAAGGTAGAATCACAAGATTTTAGAGCAAGAAGGATTTTGAGATTATATTGTGACGTCTCCGCATTTTATAGATGAGGAAACTAAGACCCAGAGAGTTGATCTGCCGTTTGCCCTCCACTAGTTAGTAGCAGCATTAACTAGGATAGGTTCGCTGGTCTTCTCATTGTCATATCTGCAATCTTCCCACAGTCCTATTTTGTCCATCCTTAGGTTAAGGCTGTCTTTGAAATTTAGATTTTTTTTTAATATATATATTTTATTGATTTTTTACAGAGAGGAATGGAGAGGGATAGAGAGCTAGAAACATCGATGAGAGAGAAACATCGATCAGCTGCCTCCCGCACGCCCCCCACCGGGGATGTGCCGCAACCCAGGTACATGCCCTTGACCGGAACCGAACCCGGGACCCTTCAGTCCGCAGGCCGACACTCTATCCACTGAGCCAAACCGGTTCCGGCGAAATTTAGATTTTCTATATCATAGGCTATAGATTTCAGCTTGCTATTATTACAGTTTTGCTGTGTTTTTCAGTAAACTTTATTTTGAAATTAGGATCCTCATTTTTTTCAGTGACCACTTTTAAGAATTGGCATTACCTCTTCCCTATTTTACTGGTTTGATAGTTAATTGAATCTCAATCTCTGCCTTTACTAATGGTGAAAATTAAGAAGCCTTTTTCAATGTGGGATAGAACCATAAACTGAACTAGTTCCACTTGATAATAGAATATATGAAAAGTATCTCCTTTTCAGGCGTTCCAGAAGTAGAGAGAGAGACAGAAGTCGAGAGCGAAGAAGATCTCGAAGTCGAGACAGGAGACGCTCAAGGAGTAGAAGCCGGGGCCGCCGATCCCGATCCTCCAGTCCTGGCAATAAAAGCAAGAAAGCTGAGAATAGGTAATGTTATCATTGGGCTCTATCTGTCATGCAAGTTGGGAACTGACTGTTTTCCCTGTTACTTATATTTAAAAAAAAATCTTTAGGTCCTGGTCAGGTAGCTCAGTTGGTTAGATTGTCATCCTGATATACCAAGGTTGTGGGTTCGATCCTCAGTCAGGTAACATCCAAGAGTCAGTGAATGCACAAATAAGGGGAACAACAAGTCAGTGTCTCTCCCTCTCCCTCTTTCCCCCTCCTTCTTCCCCTGCTTCTCTCTAAAATAAATTAAACATTAAAAATAATTACTGAATTTGACTCCTACCATGAACTCTTGGTAGAATTTTGTTTTAACAGGTTTTAAAGCTTATAATTCAATTGGAAAATACCAGACTATTTTAAAACATAATGCATTGTTTTATTTAATAACTATTAATGGTCAGAAATATATTTTATAAACATCTCAAACTATGTTTTTTCTTTGAAATTATTTTGTTAGAATTTTTGATATTGACAAATAACGTGAAATGGTATGCATTGCTGAATTGCTGTTCAGATGAGTGAACTTTGTGTAATTTAAATGTATATGTTTCAGTTTGAGATAGTATGTCTGTTAAACATAGTATGTTTAACTCTTTATATATTTATCTTGTTAGTGTTTTATTCTTTGCCTATTGTTTCTAATGTGGTTCATAGGATAGTTGATGTATGGTCTTGTATCTGTTTTCTGTATAGTCTTTATGTTAATCATGACATTTATTTATTTATTTTTTTTGAAAGTCTTTTATTTTTTTTATTTTTTACTTTTTTTAATATTTTATTGATTTTTTACAGAGAGGAAGGGAGAGAGATAGAGAGTCAGAAACATCGATGAGAGAGAAACATCGATCAGCTGCCTCCTGCACATCTCCTACTGGGGATGTGCCCGCAACCCAGGTACATGCCCTTTACCGGAATCGAACCTGGGACCTTTCAGTCTGCAGGCTGACGCTCTATCCACTGAGCCAAACCGGTTTTGGCAACCATGACATTTACCATGTCATTTATTTTACTTAGAAAATTTTATTTTACCGAAGTCCGTGTAATAAAACTGGAAAAAAGTGTATATGGGGTGCATTCTCCCTGGTCGTACACCCATGCCTTTCTTCCCTCTTAGGCATGCATCTCCTAAACTTTAAGGGCCCCATGAGAGTTGTAACCAGGGAGCAGTGGGCAATGACAGCTCGTCCCGGGCTAACTTCCTGAATCTGCCTCCAAGGCCCCTTTTCTCTGACTTTGCAGGGAGCTAAAGCAGCCTGCCTAGGCTTGTTTCTTCCCGGTGGCATTTCTAGAGAGCTAAAGCAGCCTGCCTAGGCTCTCTCCTATTGCTGCTTCTGTCAAGCCCTTGTCTCACATCCCTAGCTTTAATAAACTTACTCTTTGGTTAATCATAAAACAAAAACTAAAACAAAAGTGTGTGTGAAGATTTCAACATAGGAACTCGGGTGGGATGCAGGCATTCAGACCAAAGCAACCAGTCAGAAAGGATAGCTATGTTTTCAAAGTATTCACCCACAGAAATGCCAATGATCAGGAAAGTCGTTTTCCTGAAACCCCCAGGATTACATCTGCTCTTAGCCCCACGTGGCCTCGTGACTACAGAGTTAGAGAAATGGAATCATTGCCCTAAAAAGAAACCTTGTTTATGCTGCATGTAACATGTGTAACACATTGGTGACAAGACAGAGTTACCAGGATGGATAGTGACGGTGGCTGCCTAGCGGTGTGGATGTATTTGACACTACTGAACTGTGTACTTAAAGGTGGTTAAGATGGTAAACGTTATGTGCATTTTCACACAATAAAAAAAATAACGTAAAATGTCAAAAAAAAATGTGTGTGTGTGTGTGTAAAAGTGAATAAAATCTGAGCAGTTTGTTAAATAATTATAAAGCAACATCCATGTAACCATCGCCAAGGTCAGGAAATAGAACATTGTCAGAAGCCCTCCACATCCCTTCTGTAACTGAGGTCTCTATTTCCTTGGATGAAAACCAGTTCTGACATTTGTGCTAGTAATTTCTTTATAGTTTTACCACCTGAATTTTTATCTGGAAAAAGAGTAGTTTATTTTATTTTTTTAAATATATTTTATTGATTTTTCACAGAGAGGAAGGGAGAGAGATAGAAAGCTAGAAACATCGATGAGAGAGAAACATCGATCAGCTGCCTCCTGCACATCTCCCACTGGGGATGTGCCCGCAACCCAGGTACATGCCCTTGACCGGAATCGAACCTGGGACCTTTCAGTCCGGAGGCTGATGCTCTATCCACTGAGCCAAACCGGTTTCGGCGAAAAAGAGTAGTTTAGACATACATGTTTTACGTGAATGAGTCATGTATTCTTTTGTGTTTTTGCTCAGTGTTATGTTATTTGAGACTTATCTTTGTTGCTTATAACAGTAGTACATTTTCATTGCTGAATGCAATCTGTGGTATAAATATACCACAGTTTATTCATTCTACTTAGATCAATGTTTGGGTTGATTTAACTTTTTGGTTATTATGAACATTTTTGTATATATAATACTGGTATACATTTGCATGAGTTTCTTAGGGCGTATATCTAGGAGTGAAATTACATGATCATAGAATAAGCGTAGCTTTATTTTTACTAGGTAATCCTGAATGCTTTCCAAAGAGTATTATTAATTATACTCCCACCAGAAGTATATGAGAATTATGTTGCTTTATGCTCTGACAATGTTTGGTATTGTCAGTCTTTTAAATTAAAAAAATATTTTAAAGAAATTTATTGATTTTAGAGAGAGAGGAAGGGAGAGGGAGAGAGAGAGAGAAAAATATTCATGTGGTAGCTCAACATTGATTAGCTGCCTTTACAGTGTCCCCTACTGGGGATTGAGCCTGAAACCTGGGCATGTGCCCTGATGCTGAATCCAACTGGCCACCTCCTGGTTCAAGGGGCGAAGCCCAACTAACTGAGCCACACTGGCCAGGGCAGTCCTTTAAATTTTTTGTTAATTGAGTAGGCATGTAATGCCAATATCATTGTGATTACTAATTTGCATTTCTGTGATTACTAATGAGATTGAACTTTCATATGTTTATTGGTTATTCCGATCTCTTTTCTGACGTACTTGTTTACATCTTTGCTCATTTTTCTATTGGGTAGTTTCTCTCTTTAAACAGATTTATAGGAGGTTTTTGTGTTTGTTTTTAGATATCCTGTATAGTTGTTTTTTGTCAATTATATGAGTGGCAAATATATTTTCTTACTCTGGTTTGTTGTTTCACTCTGTAATGATTTTTTTAAAAATGTGTTTTCGCCGATTTTTTAGAGAGAGGAAGGGAGAGGGGAAGAGAAACATTAATGCGAGAGCGGAACATTGGTGGGTTGCCATCTGCATGTCCCTCACTGGGGTTCAAGCTGCCGGTTCTCTGCCTGGGCAGTACCTGGGTTGCAGGTTTGATCCCCGGCTCTCTTTGGGACTCCTGCAGGAGGAACCATCAGTGTGTCTTTCTCACATCGATTTCTTTCTTTTTTTTTTCCTCTCTCTCCCCCTCCTGATCTTCCACTCTATCTGAAATTCAATGGAAAAAATATCCTTGGGTAAGGATTAACAAAAAAATAAAATAGAAGTTTATACTAGAGAATACCTTGTTTATCTCTGAATATTTTCATCAAATCTGGAAGTATTTCTAGGTATTTTAAAAAGCACTGATCATAAAGGGCCAAAAAAGACCAACCAATTTGATTACATTAAAATTATTATTATTACTGTTTTTAATCTTATAGAATGTTAATGTCTTGGCATGTTTCTCCATTTGTTAAGTTTTACCCCTCCAATTTAAATTCTGTAGTTTTTCTATGATATGTCCTGTTTTTCTTATTTACAATTAGTGTCATAGCATTAATTTTTTATTATATTTCCAAGGTATTTATTAATGGAATATAAAAATGCATGTGGCTCTTGGAAGTTTATTTCTTACCTAAAAAGTAAAATACAAACCTATAAGAGTATTTTAAAATGAATGTTTCCAAGCACATATAGATGATATGTTTTTCTCTCTCTTTTTAGAAGGTCTAGGTCCAAAGAGAAAACAGATAGTGGAGAAAGTTCTAAAGAGAAGAAAAAAGACAAAGATGATAAGGAAGATGAAAAAGAAAAAGATGCTGGCGTATGTTTACTAGCATAAATAACTATATAATGTAAACTTGTTTCTACAATGACAAATTCTTACTTTTTTAATGTTCTGTTTTATTTTGAAATAACATATATAAGATAAGATAGTACTTGTTTCCATGAGAAAATTTTTTTGAATAAGTTGCATATCTATACATATCTGTTTTTGCTTACAAACTATTATCATACCATATACAGCATTTTGTATCTTGCTTTTGTATACTTTAAAATTATAAATTTATCAATATATAAGATCTCAAGAATAATAAACAGCCCTACCAGTTCGGCACAGTGCATAGAGTGTGGGCTGAAAGGTCCCAGATTCAATTCTGGTCAAGGGCATGTACCTTGGTTGCGGGCGTGATCCCCAGTAGGGGGCATGCAGGAGGCACTTGATTGGTATTTCTCTCTCTCTCATTGATGTTTCTAACTATCCCTCTCTCTTCCTCTCTGTAAAAAGTCAATAAAAATGTATTTTAAAAAAACATAATAAGACCTGACCGGTTTGGCTCAGTGGATAGAGTGTCGGCCTGTGGACTCAAGGGTCCCAGGTTTGATTCCGGTCAAGGGCATGTACCTTGGTTGCGGGCACATCCCCGGTGGGGTTTGTGCAGGAGGCAGCTGATTGATGTTTCTCTCTCACCGATGTTTCTAACTCTCTATCCCTCTCCCTTCCTCTCTGTAAAAAATCAATAAAATATATTTAAAAAACAACAACATAATAAGCAGCAGTATACCCACCATCTTAGAAATAGAATACCTTGCTGTTTTCATTTGTTATATATTGGAGATCTTGCTGTAGGTGCATACATAGATAAAGCTTATTATTTTTAGTGCCTTCATAGTATTCTGTTGAAACAATGTAGAATATTTGTTTCCAGTCTGTGATTTTAAACAAAGGTGCATTAATTACTGTATCTATGTTCTTTGTGAATATAGCATAAGGTAAATTGGTATCAAATTGCCATAAAATAAGTTGTATAAATTGACTTAAGACATATGAAAATGTCTGTTTCCTTACTTCCTTGCCAACATAAGAATTTGAAAAATTAATTTTTACCAATGTAATTGGAGGTAATTGGTATTATTTTGAGTTGCATGTCTTTAAATATAAGTGAATATTTTCTTTTCTTTATTTTTTTGTTAAGCCTCACCCTTTCCGTTGATTTTTTTAGGGAGAGTGGGAGAGAGGGAAAGACAGAGAAACATCCATGTGAGAGAAACACATTGATTGATTGCCTCCTGCATGAGCCCCCAACGAGGGCCCGAGCCTGGGAGAAGCCGGCAGCAGGGGTACATGCCCTTGATTGGAATAGAACCCAGGACCCTTTAAGTTTTTTACTATTTGCACTTTCTTTGAATTGCCTACTCATATCTTTTGCCCATTTCATTATAGAGTCATTTCTTTGTTTTGTTCTCTTTTTGAGTTTGTTCTATTTTTTAGTGGTTGTATTTTAAATAATTTTTTTAAAAGGACCTCCTTGCTGAGTCGGGTAACTGAGAGAATGCAACTTAAGTCTGGGAGGTCTGGTTTCTGATCCAGTTTCTTCTATTGAATGACTGGGTGACCTTGAGAAAAGCACATAAGCTTTCTGGGGCTCATCTTTAGAGAGGACGGAATTATTATAAAGACTATAAATTCAGGGGGAAAACTTTTTGTTTTTTTAAGAAATAAATTTATTTTTGAAATACAAGCATTATATAATCAAATTATAAGATATTTGGAAAGTTCAGAAATAATTCTCTATAATCCCAAAACACCATCACATTATAATTATGTAATATTTTCTTTGACTGTTTTCTACATGTGCTGCGTTTCCATACCTATCAATGGTGGCAACATATGTAACATTTTGATATATATAATGTTTAATCTTTAAGTCCCTGATTATGTGGTGATTTGTTGTCTTCTCTTAAGAGTATTATTAATAATTTTAATAATGGCTTTAGAGCTGAAACCGGTTTGGCTCAGTGGATAGAGCGTCGGCCTGCAGACTGAGGGGTCCCGGGTTCGATTCCGGTCACGGACATGTACCTTGGTTGCGGGTACATCCCCAGTGGGAAATGTGCAGGAGGCAGCTGATCGATGTTTCTCTCTCATCAATGTTTCTAACTCTCTATCTCTCTCCCTTCCTCTCTAAAAAATCAATAAAATATATTTTAAAAAAAATAATGGCTTTAGAATGGCTGTTTCTAGGAAACGTAGACCTAAAGGCTAAAAGACCAAAACTTCTTAATCATGTTGATAAATAGCTTTTTAAAAAATATATATTTTATTGATTTTTTATAGAGAGGAAGGGAGAGAGATAGAGAGTTAGAAACATTGATGGGAGAGAAACATTGATCAGCTGCCTCCTACACACCTCCTACTGGGGATGTGCCCGCAATCAAGGTACATGCCCTTGACCGGAATCGAACCTGGGACCATTCAGTCAGCAGGCCGAAGCTCCATCCACTGAGCCAAACCGGTTAGGGCGATAAATAGCTTTTATTTACTTAATAATTTATAATAGAAAATTGTTTTTCATGGAGGCAATCTTGGAGGAGTTTAGATGATTTAAAGTTGAGAATAATAACTAGGGAACTTTGTTAAGTCATGTAGTTTTTACTTTGAGGAAGAAGTTGAATTCATGTGTGCATATTGCTTATATCTAAAATGAGATTAATTTATGGTGTTTGAAATGTGTCTATTTTATTAGTTGAAAATGCTTAAAAAATTGATAAACCCAGATTTTTATTGATTTTTTTTTAGAGAGAGAGGAAGGGAAAGGGATAGGGAGAAAGAAATGTCGGCAAGAGAGAAATAATGACCTTCTCCCTCCTGTACACCCCTGCTGGGTATTGAGTCCGCAACCTGAGCATTGCCCTGACCAGGAATACAACTGCGGCCTCCCGGTTCATGGGTTGATGTTCAATCACTGAGCCACACCAGCCAGGCGAAGATGCTTTTTTTACTATTTCATTATGTGGGTATATTCTTGGAGATACTTAAAAGATGTGTGACTTTAATCTGGTCTAAATATAGGAGTTTGTATATACATCTGTTTTTTTCCTTTTTATATACTTTAGGAAAATACTTGGAATATCACCTAGAGTAAAATTGTTTATCCTTGCCTTCCTCTATCTCCTGTTTTCCTCCCAAGAACTTTGACCAAAATAAGCTGGAAGAAGAAATGAGAAAGCGGAAAGAAAGAGTAGAAAAATGGCGAGAAGAACAACGCAAAAAGGCCATGGAAAACATAGGAGAACTGAAAAAGGAAATTGAAGAGATGAAACAAGGGAAAAAATGGAGTTTAGAGGATGATGATGGTATATTCATTTGTTACAATAATAACCTATATAACAATTCATGTATAGTATTCTAGAATTATGAGTAATGTTGGTATTTTTAAGACCACATATTATGGAAAAAATATAATGTTTATATATTATAACATAATGTTTATCATTTCAACCATTTTTTAAGTGTACAATTCATGGCATTAAGTACATTCACAGTCTTGTGCAATCAACACCACTGTCCATTCCCAGAACTTTTTCTTCATCCCAAACAGAAACTCTGTTCCCATTAACCCCTTCTCCAACAATTTTTTTGTTAAAAACGTTTCTTTTTCAGGCTAATTTTTTTATTTTGGTTCTATATAGTATTTTTGATGCTGGTTATGAAAACAGTTTGTAACTCGTCTTCGTATAAACCATATTTTTTTACCATATTTTCTTAGTATACTCGTCGACGACTGAAAAAGAACATTTTGTGAAAACGAGTATACACGTTTCTGCCGGGGAAGGGGTTAAATAGTAATTCCCCATCCTGTCCCCATCCCCATCCCCATCCCCAACCCCGTCCCCATCCCCATCCCCATCCCCATCCCCAGTAACTTCTATTCTGCTTTCTGCTGCTATGAATTTGCCTATTCTAGGTACCTCATAAAAGTGGAATCATACAATATTTGTCCTTTTGTAACTGGCTTATTTCACTTAGCGTATCTTCAAGGTTCATCTATATTGTTGCATATATCAGAATTTCATTCCTTTTTATGGCTTAATAGTACTCTATGTTATATAAATATATGTGTACATGCCACATTTTGTTTACCTATTTATCTGTTAGATATATGGGTTGTTTACACCTTTTGGCTATTGTGAATAAAGCTCCTGTTGTTACTGGTATGCAAGTAACTGTTTGAGTCCCTGCTCTCAGTTCTATATACCCAGAACTGGAATTGCTGAATTCATATGGAGGTTTTAAATGTCTCTTTTAATATTTATGTTAAATTTAGAATTGTAAAGTAGTGTTTATTAAGGATTACTGATTTTACTTTAGAGTGGAGAGTTGGGTACTTAAGGGCAAGTAAATAGCTTTTTATTTTTATTACAATAATGTTAGTAATAAGGGTAAATTAAGGACATGGTTTCAGATTTCTCCTTTGACTTTTTAATGACTTAAAACAGAAACATTTCCCCTCCGTATCTGATTTTGACTTTTTAATAAAGAATGTGAAATTTTATAGGAAATGGAATTTTGTTCCTTTTTTTTTTTTAAACATTCCTTTAAAATTCTCATTTTCTCTGGAAGTTCCACAGAGTGGCTTAAAAAGATAAATGGGCCCGGCCAGTTTTGCTCAGTGTTTGAGCATTGACCTATGAACTAGGAGGTCACCATTCAATTCCCCGTCAGGGCACATGCCTGGTTGTGGACTTGATCCCCAGTGGGGGCTGTGTAGGAGGCAGCTGATCAGTGATTCTCTCTCATCATTGATGTTTTAGTCTCTCTCTCTCTCTTTCTCTTCCTCTCTGAAATCCATAAAAGTATATTTTAAAGAGGATAAATGGATTAAGTGATGATGTTTTAGTTATGTAAAAAAGATTAGATTTGTCTTGAATTAAGAATGTTATTTTTTCTGTGCTTTAAAGAAAGGTAATTGAAAGGAAAATAAGTAAACTTATTTAGCAGATAAAGTTTTTAGTTTGGCTTTTAGTGTAATTGTAAGACTTATTACTGGAGATTCATTTTTAGGCATAATTTTTTGCCTCTTCGACTTAATTTGTTACAATTTTTTTCTTTTATTATTCAGAACTAATACATGCTCGGTTTAAAGCTGTGAAGTATATTTGAACTGCAGTGTGCCTGGTCAACTGGAAGGGAGGGTGTTTAGGTAGTGAGAGAACAGGTCAGAATGGTGGGTGTGGTCTGATTGTGAAAAATTTCCCTTTGAAGCACATGTACAAAGAGTGTGTATTCTAATATTTTAGATGATGAAGATGACCCTGCAGAAGCTGAGAAGGAAGGAAATGAAATGGAGGGTGAGGAGTTAGATCCATTAGACGCTTACATGGAAGAAGTGAAAGAGGAAGTAAAAAAGTTTAATATGAGAAGTGTAAAAGGTGGTGGGGGAAATGAAAAGGTATGGAATTTTATTTTTAAAGATTTATATTCCTAGTTGGATAACTTGGTTTCATTGTTGATTGACATACTATTGACTTGAATGACTTTATACTGTTTTTGTTTTCTCTCCCATCTGGTACTTTTTCTAAGTACCAGAGATATTAGTGAATTTTTAACTATAAATGTTCTTGTTTCAAAGGTGTTACCATCATCTTTGTTCGGTTTCTATGCTTGCTTATTGCATTCTTAATAGGTCCTCTCCAGACTTCTCCAGCGTTTTCATCTTTCATACTCCCATCTCCTTTATCCAGTCTAATTTTCTTTTTTTAAATAGCATTTATTGCCTTTTCTCAGGTTAATATAATTTGATTTTTTTATCATGTCTATTATTTGTCCCCCTTGTCTTCTAAATTAAAGCTCCTCAGGAGCACTGACCTTTGCCTGTTTTACTGATTTCTCCTAAGCTCCCGGAACAATGTCTTGCTTGTTGAATGAGTGAAAAGTACCATTTAATAGTATTTTAAAAATAAATTATATTGCATAGTAACTGTATATAAAGTTATATATTATACAAGAAACTACATATGTATGGGGTGGACAGATACAGGTTTACAGTTGTGAGTATGTGAAACACAGAGTTAATAAAGCTGTTGTAATAATCATAACCTGCTTTCCATGTTTTTCCATACGAACAACTGTAATCCTACTTTTGCCTACCCCGTGTTAATGTATTATAAAATACATTGTGGTATATTTAATTGTAAGATTTAAATGAGAAAGCAGACCACTTTTTGTCTTTTCATTACGTTGCTGCTAATAACTAAGTTAATTTGATTTATAAATTATGGCAGTTATTTTGTTTCAGTTGGCATATAATTTTTATTTTCATACATGTATAGCCCATGGACACAAACAATAGTGTGCTGAAGGCCTGGGGAGGCGAGGACTGGTTGGGGGAGGGGGGTAAATGGGGGAAAAAGGAGGACATCTGTAATACTTTCAACAATAAGGAGATTTTAAAATTTTTCAGCTTTTCAAAATATTTTATATTCCTTTTTTATTTTAGAAGTCTGGGCCAACAGTGACAAAAGTTGTCACTGTTGTGACAACCAAAAAAGCAGTAGTGGATTCTGATAAGAAGAAAGGGGAGCTGATGGAGAATGACCAGGATGCCATGGAGGTAATTATTCATTAATTTTGAATTTTTCATGATGCTACCTTAGGCCCTGGTTGGGGAGCTCAGTTGGTTAGAGCATTGTTATGATATGCCAGTCACGGCACATTCAGAAATCAACTAATGAATGTATAAATAAGTGGAGTAACAAATTGATATTTCTCTCTCTCCCTCTCTTTCAAATGAGTTAAAAAAATAAAGTGCCCAAAGTGATGCTACCCTAGAAGTATTTACTAGGACTCAATGATGAAGACGTACTTTTCAGTTATGCAAACTATTATTAAGAAGCCTTGCGATTCTTAACAATATTATAGCTGAATATCCAGTTGGTAGAACAATCTAACATCTTTGTCCTCTTGCTCTTTGCCCATTTGTTGTTAATCCTCACTTGAGGATATTTTCCCATTGATTTTTTAGATAATCAGGGGGGGAGAGAGAGAGAGAGAGAGAGAGAGACAGACAGACAGACATTGATGTGAGAGAGACACATTGATTGGTTGCCTCCTGCACATGCCAGGACCAGGGCCAGGAATTGAGCCTGCAACCAAGGTATGTGCCCTTGACAGGAATTGAACCTGGGACCCTTCAGTCTACAGGCTGATATTCTATCCACTTAGCCAAACTGGCCAGGGCTGTATGCCCAATTTTGATTGTCTTATATTTCATCAGCTCCTCTCAGACATAGAAGGGAGAGAAGAAAGGAAGTGACAGAATGAAATTTCTTCCTATTTATATGCATTGTTAAGATTTAACAATGGGAACTATAGCAAAACATCATTAAAGCCGTATTAAAATTATTTTATTTATTTTTATTGGTTAATGATTGTAGAGAAAGAGGAAGCGGGGGGAGAGAAACATTGATTTGTTGTTCTCCTTATTTATGCACTCATTGGTTGATTCTTGTGTGTCCTGACTGAGGATCAAAACCACAACCTTGGCATATTGGGATGATGCTCGAACTGACCTACTTGGCCAGGGCTAGAATTATTTTATTATTTTAGCTTTATGTTGTTAATGCAACTTTCTATAAGGAAAAAGAAAAGAAAAACTAAATTGAAAAATTCAGAAATTAAAAAGTAAAAGCCAAAGATTATTTTTTACTAGAGGATGATTTTATTTTTAATTTAATTTTCTCCCATCATTTATCTCCCCGCCTGCCCCCCTCCATAACTCTTCCACCACAAACCTCCTCTCACCCTCCCACCTTACCCCCATGCTAGGAGAAGAGGATTTTAAAAGCTAGGAATATTGATTGCCATAAATAGAAAATAGAAATGGGTTTAGCTTTTAACTTTTTTTTTTAAATTATAGTATTCTTCAGAGGAGGAAGAAGTTGATCTTCAGACGGCCCTCACAGGCTATCAGACAAAACAGAGAAAGCTTCTAGAGCCAGTAGATCATGGGAAAATTGAATATGAACCATTCAGAAAAAACTTTTATGTTGAAGTTCCAGAACTAGCAAAAATGTCTCAAGAAGGTAAAGTTCTTTTATTTATATGTTGCTTATTGTGGGAACAGAAGAGGATACACTTCTCTTTGTCCAGGAGGAATGTGGGTAGCCCTGTGAGTTGATATATGAGTAGGGGAATTGCCTGATTTACCTGGGGAAGTGAAAGAGGGAACTAGAAGGTGAGAAGTCATTCTAGAGCAGCGGTCGCCAACCGGTGGTCTGCGGACCACTGGTGGTCCGTAAGGTCCTAAAGGTTGGCGACTGCTGTTCTAGACAGTGGGTAAGTCATCTGCAGAAATTCAGAGTTGTGAAGAGTCAGTATGTTTTTGGAAGTATTTAAAAAAATTATTATCCAGGTTGTTGTGGCTCAATTGGTTGGACATCTCCTTATGGAATGAAAAGTTGCTGGTTAGATTCCCAGTCAGGGCACATGCCTGAATTTCGGGCTCCATCATCCCCAGTACTGGGTGTGCAGGAGGCGGCTGATCAGTGTTTCACTCTCACATTGATGTTTTTCTCTCTCTGCCCCTTCCTTTCTCTCTCTCTAAAAATCAATGAAAAATCTATTTTTTAAAATGAGCAAAAATTAGTTTGGCTCGTGTAGTTGAGAATTTTAGAATTGAAATGCTAACTTCATGTGAAATTAGCAAATAATATATTGTTAGCTCTTGAGAGAGGGGAGTTAGGAACCAGTGTGCATCTGTGATATTGGTAGAATAAGAATAATCTGGGCCCTGACTGGTTTGGCTCAGTGGATAGAGCGTCGGCCTGCAGACTCAAGGGTCCCAGGTTCGATTCTGGTCAAGGGCATGTACCCTGGTTGCGGGCACATCCCCAATAGGGGTTGAGCAGGAGGCAGCTGATTGGTGTTTCTCTCTCATCGATGATTCTAACTGTCTATCCCTCTCCCTCTCTGTAAAAATCAATAAAATATATTAAAAAAAAAGAATAATGTGGGCAACTCTTGCTTGGAGAAGACGATTGTATTACTTGTCAATCATTGTTCTTTTTTTTTTTTTAATATATTTTATTGACTTTTTACAGAGGAAGGGAGAGAGATAGAGAGTTAGAAACATCGATGAGAGAGAAACATCGATCAGCTGCCTCCTGCACATCTCCCACTGGGGATGTGCCCGCAATCCAGGCACATGCCCCCGACCGGAATCGAACCTGGGACCCCCCAGTCCACAGGCCGACGCTCTATCCACTGAGCCAAACTGGTTTCAGCCATTGTTCTTTTAATACTTTGCAATTTAAGATAAAATAAAAGCCAAATTGTAGAAATTGGGATATTTTGTTTGATCCTTTGTTGGTTGCAAACAGTAATTGCTTTAACTGTCTCTGTCTCTCTGAGCTATTCAGTGCTTTGTCCAATAGCTTTTCTATGGCGTAATCTGTGTTAACACTAACAAAGGAATTGGAGATTCTTAATCTTACCATAGCTAATTGAGAAATATAACGCACTAATAGTAGAACAACAATTAAGAGTTTTTAATCTGGATTTTGTTTTGCAGAGGTGAATGTCTTTCGGTTGGAAATGGAGGGCATTATTGTCAAGGGAAAAGGTTGCCCCAAACCAATTAAATCTTGGGTTCAGTGTGGAATTTCCATGAAGATCCTAAATTCTCTCAAAAAGTAAGTGGTTAGTGGTTGTCCACATTTTCAAAGTTTTCTACTCAAAAATAGTCTTTTCACACAAATATTTCCTTTGGTTGTATTTTTACTCTAATAGAAAAACATTTTTCTTAAAGAACTTTATTGAGAAAATTTGCATAATAACAAAATGACTCTTTAGTATATTATTGGGGTTATGCAGTCATCACCATAAGCTAATTTTAAACATTTTCATCATCCCCAACAGAGATCTGTATCTGTTAGCCAATCTTCTTCCTGTTCCTCACCCTAGGTAACCACTAATCCAGTGATGGCGAACCTTTTGAGCTCGGTGTGTCAGCATTTTGAAAAACCCTAACTTAACTCTGGTGCTGAGGCACATAGAGAAATTTTTTGATATTTGCAACCATAGTAAAACAAAAGACATATTTTTGATATTTACTTTATATATGTAAATGCCATTTAACAAAGAAAAAAAAAAGAGTTCGCGGGTCACCTCTGACACACATGTCATAGGTTCGCCGTCACTGCACTAATCTATTGTCTCTGTAGATTTGTCTATTATGGACTTTATATATTAATGGGAGCATACCAGTATAGTCTTTTGTGACTGGCTATTTCCACTTAGCCTATTTTCAAAGTTCAACCATGATGTACATTGTCTCAGGGCTTTATTCCTTTTTGCCAAATAATATTTTATTGTAGGAATATACCACATTTTAGAAAACCTTTTCCTCCTTCAGTTTTCAGAGCCCAAGAGATCTCAACTTTTACCTTGTCTTCATTTGGTTTTCTTTTTAAGGCATGGCTATGAAAAGCCCACACCAATCCAAGCTCAGGCGATTCCTGCTATAATGTCTGGACGGGACTTGATTGGCATTGCCAAGACTGGAAGCGGAAAGACTATTGCTTTTCTGTTGCCCATGTTTAGACACATCATGGATCAGAGGTCATTAGAAGAAGGAGAAGGGCCAATAGGTACAATTTTTTTCCATTGAACTATTTATTCAGATAACTAATTCATTGTCAGTTAATCAGAAAGACCTGATACTTTATATTCTTAATTATAACAATAAAGATATCTTTATGTACATTTTCTTTATAAATTTGGCACTTTGGGGCTGATTTCCCCTTACCAGCAGGTGGAGTGAGAATCTTCAGAGCTCTGGAGTGACATCTCAGAAGTACAAAAACAGCCTCTCCTGGCACAGCTCAATTTTTAAACTCTGACTCGGCAGGTAGACTCCTCATGCATCTATCTGTTTATTTATGTTGAGGTTTGTTCTTAGCCCCGTATCAGTGGATTTATAAAACTCAACATAGAGGATTATAAAGAAACATGTTTTCCCTTTTTTGGCCTTACAAGGCTATAGTGCCAGCATTCATTTAGGATTTGGTCTTCATATTCAGATTTCTTGATTCATTTGGCAGACATCTCTTCTGCAAATTTGAATAGGGTTTTGGAAGGTTGTTACGAGCTCCTCTCGGAAATTTAGGGCGCAGTATATTTTTCTTCTATCTGTGCCTCTCAGACCAAGGTTGTTTCTGGAAACCGGGGAATGGCTCTGCAGCACAGTGAGTCACTTGATCATCTTTGCTCTGTGATTTGCAGTTGAGAATGATTTGCATTCTTTTCAACCCAGTATTTTCTTAGTGGTTAAGTAGGCATTTAACTGATTTATTTCCCTATAGCATGTTAAGTCTACTTAAAGTAATTCTTCGTCACAATCTTTACTATTATAAAGCTTCTAAGATAGGGTTTTTGGAGGCGCATAAAACAAATTAAAACAAAAATTAGACTAAGAGATCTAAACTTTATTGCAGAGGTTAACTATAGCACTTTAAAGCGTAGCCTCTTAAAGAGAATTTTGGTGGTTAGGCTTTTGACGTATTTATCTTTTCAGCTGTCATCATGACTCCAACTCGAGAACTGGCTTTACAAATTACTAAAGAATGTAAGAAGTTTTCGAAGACCTTGGGACTTAGAGTGGTCTGTGTTTATGGAGGAACAGGAATCAGTGAGCAGGTAGTTATAAAAGGAACATTCAGTTTTTTCACTCTTAAATTGAATGATTTAATAACATAAGTGTTTTTTTGTTTTTGTGTTTTGTATAGTGATTGCTTCTAAAATCTTAAAGAATGAGGTGTGAAAATAACACAATGAGTTGTTATATTTTGGAATTTTTAAGTCTTTCTTATACTTTTTAGCCTTCCAATTTCTCCCCTTCTCTCTTAGCTCAAGAAAGGCAGATATTTTTTCTGTTTTACAGATAAGTAAATGTTTGGAAAGGTTAAATAAGGTGACCAAAGTCTTTAGGTTAAGAAGATGTGGTTTGACCAAGAACCTAGGTCTTCTGATTCCTGGACAGTATTTATTTTCTCTGATTTATGTGACATCTTTGAAAGGTGGGATGCATTATTATCAGAGTTTTAGCTGAATTCTTAAATGATTTCAGAAGACTTATTTAAAAATACCTTCATTCACTCTCTTTAGTTTGGCATTTCTCCAGGTGTCTTCTAAAGAGTGATAGTCATTGGATATCTACACTAATAAAAGACAAAGATGCTAATTGACCATACTTTTGGTATGCTCATCAGCCAATCAGAAGAGTACGCAAATTAACCCAACAAAGATGGCCGTTAAATTTGCATACTGCTGGTAGATGCTGCTGCGCTGCCCTGCGCAAGCGGCACGATCCCCAACTGCCGCCGCCCCAGTGCAGGATCCAGGCCTGCCGTGTGCGGCCTGGGGTGGGTGGGGCAGGCGG